TTGGGTATATCTGGGAAAGATTTGTGTGTATTTGGTGTATTTGGGTAAATCGTCGCGCCGGCAATATATCACCACATTGCCCACAACGGGTGCCGGGATCGAGGACCCTGCTTTCACGGAGACCCATTGTAGTTGGTTTTCTTTTATTTTTGCTTATTTTTGAAAATTATTTTTTATTACCATTTCAAAAATTGTCTTGATCTAATTTCATGATGTGAAATAAATAAATACTTTCAATTTCTCTGACATGTAATGGTACTCCTCGCCATTTCATATAATGCGAGTTTACAATTTTATACGAATAAAAGAGGTCGGATTGCGATGGAAAATTCCACATAGCATGTATATCCTAAAAAATCCAAATAAACCCAAAACATTTAACACCACAATAATTACACAAAAAACAATTTAATGCAATTTAATGCCCAAATTCTACATATAAACTGTCCCTTTTATGTAATTCTTTTTCCTTAAAACTGAACATAATGTTTAACATATGATGGTATCAATGCAAAGGTAATTCATTAAAATGAATAAAACGGCGATCCTGTAAATCGTCTTTCGGTCTTGCGCAGCAAAGTACGTTCTGCGAGAAAAATACAATTTTGGTCAATTTGAAACTTAAATATTTGAATGATGGTCATTAAAAAACAAAATATTTATACTAAGAACAATTTAATGCCCAAATTCTACATGTAGTGACCTGCCCCTGTGGCATGATGGACGTAAAGATTTCAGCTCCGATTGAAATGTAAGTTCTACTGTCTCTAGGGTGCTTTTATAATGTTGCCAGTGTCTTAAGTTTTCTTCGGCAATTCAAACAGTCTAACTTTTCACGGGAACTGTTTTTGCTTTAGGTAATGGCTCACCGTTGAAAATACACATTCACGCATACACGTACGCGTACAGTGCGAGACCTCGAGGCCATTCAACCGTGAACTCTGTTTGAACGAACAGTCCAAGTGTTGATGCAACAGTGCCTACGTCGAAACGCCCGCTCTCTATTTCTTCCACTCCGTCACCATTCGAAAATGAAAAAAACTGAGAGACTGCTCTCCTGGGGTTATTACTTATTCCTACACTTGTGAATCGTCTCCTACATGTACGATGACGGATACTACTCAATCCAATGTCCCCCAAGGACCATTCGTCCAGACCCAACCAGCCGGCCTGCCTCTCCAACATGTGTTTTTTTCAACAGCCGTCACAGTTTACTGGCATTCCCCCACACTCTAGTTCGATATCTGATGCTGATGTTGATAGGATAGCCAGGGCCGTCGGGGGCCTACTGCTGGACGACATCAGCAGTGCTGTGGAGAGCCACATCGCACCCTTGGTTAATCGCGTGTCCAAGTTGGAGGCCGAGAATGACGCACTTCGTCTCCAGATAGACGACCTGGAACAATATGGGCGCAGGACCTTGGTCAGGTTTTCTGAATTTCCAGAAACCAAGGATGAGACTACCAACGACCTGCTGATTCAGGCAGCCAGCGAAGCGTCTGTCGATCTCAAACCTGAGGATATTGAGAGATCGCATCGTGTGGGTCGTCCGTCTTTTGGAAAGACCCGTCAAATTATTGTTAGGCTTCGATCGACCAAAGCCAAATTTAAACTGCTTAAATCCAGCTCAGGATTTAGAAGCAGTGCTAACTTTAAACACATCTCTGTGAACGAAGACCTTACCCAAAACCGGAGTAAACTAGCTTTCTTTGCGAGGAGACTTCCCAAGGAAGGCAAGATCTCGAAGACATGGACCACCAACGGAAAAATCAGTGTCCTGGACAAGAGTTCCAAAATTTCTATCATCCGGCGTGAGGTCGATTTAACCCTTTTGAACACACTATATCCACATAAGAAACATTTCCCTTTCTTATTGCTTCACTGTACTTGTACAGTACATCCTTCAATACCGATTTTTGTATACAGTATAGATTATGGTCGATCATTATACTATATATATGTAATGTACTCCTGTGTAAGTCCATAGTCCATTTGATAGTCAACAGAATCATAAGAGTATTCATTGATAACTCATTCCTCTTAGCATGACGATTCAGTGTTATTCTTCCAATATCCGCAATTTTCACACTTAACTAAAAGTTCCTCTATGAACTACCCATCGTCATGCTTATACTCTTGAACTGAGATTCTCTGCTATATCATGTAAAATCATATGGATAAATTTAGCTATTTCTTCCCATTCTCGCCTCTAAATAAGTCAAATAAGTTTACTCTACACTGAGTGTCTTGGCATACATGTATGGATCAACCATTCCTTACCTTTATGTGTTTTGATATGGAACTGAAAATAGTACTTGCAGGTGTACAAATAACTCATAGAACATGCGTAATGTGTAAATCGTTCTACAATATTTGCGCTACCATATAAGTGCATTATCAGTTAAATATTTAGTGTGTGTGCACATTTATGAAATACCTATATTAACAGAGTGTTTTTCCTCACTATGCTAGAGTATATAAAATATATAAGTTCACCAGCCCCCGATGCTCGTGCTCTGGTCGGACATTAACATCATGGACTTTATGTTGTCCGTCCGGGCTCGAGGGCAGGGGTATAAACAAGTTTCACGACTACTTGTATGGGAGGGCCTTTACCGTTTACACAGATAACAATCCTTTGATTTACATTCTTTCTAAGGCGAATTTGGATGCGACAGGTCACCGTTGGCTTTCAGCATTGTCAGCATACAATTTCGATATTAGGTATAGGCCTGGCAAACACAACATAGATGCTGATGCGTTATCCAGACTACCAACACCGGCTACAACTGAGGCTTTGAAGGATGGTGTAGGATATGAAGGGGTAGTTTCATCATCCAGCATTCAGGCGATGTACCAGGCTGTGGTCCATATGGAGGATTCCTTACTGGAAAACACCTGCATGTCTGCTGATGCGGTGGATGCCATAGATGATGACATACAGGATGTTCAGACCATGACTCCACAGGTTTGGAGACAGTTACAGTCACAGGATCCTGTGATTAGCCAGCTCTTACCATTCATTAGACGGAACCAAAAGCCTACCAAAAGGGAGATTCCTACTAGTCCTCACCATGCGACGATGATGAGAGTCTGGGATTCGCTGAACCTCAAGCGCGGTGTACTTTACAGATGCGTACAGCAGGAAGGCTCAAGTGTTAACCAGTTGATTCTTCCCTTGGCGGTGAGAGAGAAGGTCCTCACTTACCTGCACGACCATGTTGGACGGGACAGGACAATTTCCCTGCTCCGAGACAGATTCTTCTGGCCAGGGATGTTCAAGGACGTGGATGGTTGGATAAGGAAGTGTCCTCGTTGTGTGTTGAGGAAAACACCTACGTCACAGCGGGTGCCATTGGTGAACATCGTGACAACACATCCAATGGAGCTTGTCTGCATGGACTACCTCACCCTGGAATCTTGCAAAGGAGGCTATACCTACGTCTTAGTAGTCAAAGATCATTTTACTCGCTTCGCTCAGGCTATATCAACACGCAACATGTCTGCCAGAGCTACAGCCGACGCCCTCCTGGATTAAATTCATCACTATGGAATTCCACGGCGGTTCCATTCAGATCAAGGAGCTAACTTTTGCGGTGAGGTTATTCGGCATCTGTGTCAGACGCTAGATATCCAAAAGTCTCGGACGTCACCTTACCATCCGAGTGGGAACGGTACATGCTAGAGGTTCAACAGGACGTTGATGGACATGCTTGGGACTTTGGACGATGACCAGAAGAAGGACTGGAAGCGGTATCTAGGCCCATTGACATTTGCGTACATCTGTATTCGCCACGACACCACCAGCTACTCACCCTTTGAGTTGTTGTTCGGGAGGCAGCCTAGACTTCCAGTTGATTTGGTATTAGGGTTGGAGGAACCTGGGAGCAGTGTCAGGATGCCGGAGTATGCTAAGGATCTGAGGAAGTGTATGTCTCAGTCATTTGAGTTGGCTTACAAGAAAGCCAGGGAGGCCCAGCATCGACAGAAAGTGACGTGCGATGTCAGAGCTCGACATGCCATGTTGGACATTGGCGATCGCGTTTTGGTCAAGATCTTGGCGTTTGAGGGTCGACATAAGCTTTCGAACAGATGGGAGTCTGATGTGTACATGGTGATTGGTCAGGAGAATCAGGACATACCCGTTTATCAACTCAGGAAGGAGAGTGGTGAAGGCAGGGTAAGGACTCTGCACCGGAACCATCTATTGCCGGTCGGGTCATTACCGATAGACAGAGATATCCGGAAGATTCGGCCACACCTAGCACCTTGGGTGAAGGCGAGAGCGAATCTTAGGAGCGCGCCAGCGGAGGAGTCTGTTGTTGTTCACGTGTCATCAGAAGACTCTGACAGTGATGATAGTAACAGTTCGTGTATATTGGGGGAGGATGTGTCTACACACATCTCGCGGCCACCCATACCTGATTGAGACTCGGAGTCGTTGCCGTCCGGACCGTCAGTGCCTTGTGGATCAGACTGATTCATGTGGCGTGGATGATGAGGGAGAGGGTTCACACAGCGAGGAGTCTGATGCTGACGTGCTACCTGGTGGACTATCGGTTACATCACCACATGAAGAGCATCCTGTCGCTCAGCCTCGGAGATCTGGCAGGAACATGAAACCACCTCAATGGATGGCATCGGGGGATTTTGTCTGCTCACAGCAGACATTGCTTCATCCTTCGGAGTGGGAGAGGAAAGCCTGTTTTCTTCATGAATGCTGCCTCTAGTAAGGATTTCCAGAGGATGTCAGAAACTGCCCACGACACATTTCTACAAATTTTAAAATCGTGACTTAGCTGTAGTTGTATTATATAAATCTGTATTTTGATTATATTATTTATTATCCATGGATAGAGATTGGGGCATCTCTTTTGTGGAAGGGGAGAAGTGTAAAGGAATAGTTGGTTTTTTAAGTGTGTATGTGATGTACAAGCTATTTTTTATGCTCGATTGTTTTTTTGAGCAAGTACTTCTGTGTTATATCGTCACAATGTTTGTGTTAACATTTTGATGAAAGATGAGGACATCTTCCTTGGAAGTAGGGGAGGATGTAGTAGGGTACAATTTTGTAAATTGACTTTGTAAGGTATTTTTTAATATAAGTGAGCAAGTTGCGGTCCAGTGTTATGTGACGTAATTGTAGGTCTTATTTTATAATGTGTTGTAAACCGGCTCTGTGATATGTCAAAGGGCAAATCTATGTTTATCGGACTACCCAGTGGTCATCGCGCAAGGCGCGCGGTAAATTCACACTCCCGTGGGCTTTGAATGATGACGGTTGGGTTTTATTGAGAGAGGCCCTTTGTCGTCCTTTGTTGTTTGGAAATTATAGTAAGTACCGATCATGTTGTATATTGACTGTATTGTAAATAAGTAACTTTTTACAATTATTGTAATTGCATCCTCATCTAAAGATCGATGTCGAATTATATTTAATAGGCTCTGTTAAATTGCGAGTGAATCGATCTTTGGTAATTTGAATTTCATGTTGTTTGGAGTTCATGGTTATCTTTTACATTATTCAGAGGAGGTGTGTTGAAATATATTTTTGATCATTATAATTGTTTCCTAAATTCTCTTGAAAGTTAACTATTATCTCTCTAATCGTAAACAGAGAGTGGTCGTCAATGGCAAAAGAACTAATTGGAAAAATGTTAATGCTGGTGTTCCGCAGGGCTCAATTCTCGGACGTCTTTTATTTCTGATATATACGAAACAAAAAAAAGAAAGGTAACACTACTTTATTCTGTGATTAATTAATTAACCCCTTCATAAATCCTTACCAATCATGTACGAATAAAGTAATTGATCAATTCTGATAAAACTGCAGTCATGGTTCATTATAAAACTTTGCGTTCAGTTGATTTTATTCGACTGTAAAGGACGTTGGGGTCAATTTCAAAGGTAACACCATTATTAACGGGTATGGCCACCGTTTGCGAAGTAAACAGCATTGCAGCGTCGTCGCATGGAACTCGTAAACCGGCGGATAATTCGAGGAGAGATGTTGTTCCATTCAGCGATCAAGGCTTGGGCCAGCTCCTGCAAGTTTGACGGCTGATTTTGACGTTCTCTCATGCTGTAACGTGGGACGGGCCTCTGTGCAGTATATCAGGAAATCAACACAAGAATACAACAAATGAACATATACACAAATTTATTAACATAGAGAACATGAAAACTACAGACACCCAGTCACACTCACAATCACTCTCCATTCATACACTTTAACAGTAAAGATGGCTACAGTCTCTTCACAGACAAGTTACAAGGTGGTCTCACAATCAACATCTCCAATGTGTCGAATAGTGCACACGGAGGGTGCACGCAAAACAGCTTCCGTGGACTGACAAAGTCCGAGTTGTAAAGGAACGACTCGCTCAGTTCCCAACACAAAGACGAATTGCTGACAAAGCAACCGTATCATGAAAACTCCCTCACTGATAGGGCGGTGACTAGCTTACATATTACAGCCAAGTCGCTACATGACAGCCTGTCCCTGGAGACAATCCTTCTTTGCAGTTGACCAAGACCCTGAGTAACTGAGATGTAACGTTGGTCGGTCCCGTTACTGCACGGCGAAGACCTGGCGCTCCAGCGGTGCTGACCTTCTGTAGGCTCTATGGTGATTTACCCATCATGTGAAGCTTTAAACAAAAACAAAAGACCACTAAACGTTCATCCTTCCACCCGTGACTACAATTACATATAACTCACAAAGTTTCTTACAACTAACCAGTAAATTAACATTATTCATAATCAATTATCTATTACTTGTTTGTGTAATACAAGGGGAATACACGACTACATTTTACAATTCTACGGTGCGTGATAAAATACACAATATCAAAATTCAACAAAACAAGCATATCGTTACGCGAAACATACACGACGCTAACGGCCTTCCATAGAATTTATACCGTGACGCTCTCACACCGGTTCATGCGCACACGACTTCCACTCACGGCTTCCATACTTTTTTTAACACGAACGTAACCACATTTCTACGTGTACTTTACGGTTTTACAACGACTAAATAACTGACAAAATAGCCACTCTAGATGTAAAATAACAATTTTCAAATGTATCCAGCCTAATTCAACGTTAAATTCTAGAAAATAAATATGCATCGTAAACACTGAAAGCTACGCATGAACGAACACGCACCGACAATAGATAGCTTGACCTATAAGAAGGACATCGTAAATATGGCAATAAACAACCAAATAAAACAGCATATTACGAAAGAAAGAAAGCATACTTACCCCAATCAGATGTCTGGACTCCATTTCCACGACTAAACAAAGTCACTCACGCCATAAAGTCGGCAAACAGGTAACGAAAACAGAACAAAGGCGTGCTGGTCACCTGGACAGTCAACGTCCACTGTCCCGCTCACACTCGCATACCCGCTCACGTGACCAACTCAATAACAATGCAGCGGTAAACATACAGGTGTGCGTGACACATGCGTCGCCAAAGAACGTCCCAGACATACTCAATCGGTGACAAATCAGGTGAATTAGATGGCCAATCTAACACCTGTACGTTATTCTGCTGCAAGAAAGTTCTGCTGACGCGACTGGTGTGCGCTGGTGTGTTATCCTGTTGAAAAATGGCGCCAACGCCATGGCGTCTTAAGAATGACAGAACCACTGGTCTTAAAATTTCGTCCCGATATCGAATGCCGGTTAAACTGCCATTTAACACAACAAGCCTGGTACGAGTCCCCCCACAAATATCACCCCAAACCATTACACTTCCGCCGCCAAAGCGGTCCCGTTCTGCGACGCAGCAGTTCGCAAAACGCTCCCCTCGTCGCCTCCACACTCTGCGCCTTCCGTCACCGTGTTGCAGACAAAACCTGGACTCGTCTGAAAACAGAACATTGTTCCATTGTCGTAAGGCCCAACGACGGTGAACACGGGTCCAGTTACGCCGATTATTACGGTGACGTCGCAACAAATTGGGTCCAGTGTAGGGATGCCGCGCTTTCAATTGGTAGGCCCTAAACCTGTTGCGGACTATTTGGGGAAACACACGATGCCCAATCAATGTCCTTGTAGTCTCTACTGCGGTTACGAATCGATTGCGCAAGTGTATCAATCGTATATGACGGTCATCCCTGACTGTCGTTTTACAGGGTCGGCCTCTTCGGGGACGATCGGATGTTGACCCAGTTTGGTTTAAACGACTTACCAACTGGCAAATTGTCTTAACACTAGAACCAAAATGCCGTGCAACTCGACGGCGAGACTCCCCAGCCTGGATCATGCCTACAGCCCTTTCTCTCTGTACTTGTGACAGCCGGGGCATAATGATAAAGTTGATAGATAGCAAGATCCGGTGATTTCTAAGTCCTAAGGATCTAAGGAACAGTTGTCAGTTTGAATGTTTATGAAATTCAAGCGAAGATACAAGTTTGTCGCAGAAAACCTCGTGCAGCTCTTTCGCTAATACAGACTTTCACGCTTGAATGATTTTTGTAACCCCCTTGGATTTTGCAACGTAAAACATTACCATTTTCTAATATTGCACAAACGTTTGTTTTCACTCATTTACAGGTATTCGCCAAGGAAACAAGTTAACCTTTCTTTTAGCGAAAGAGCTACACGAGGTTTTCTGCGACTAACTTGTATCTTCGCTTGAATTAATTAATTAATCACAGAATAAAGTAGTGTTACCCCAACGTCATTTACAGTCGAATAAAATCAACTGAACGCAAAGTTTTATAATGAACCATGACTGCAGTTTTATCAGAATTGATCAATTACTTTATTCGTACATGATTGGTAAGGATTTATGAAGGGGTTAGTTAATCAATCACAGAATAAAGTAGTGTTATCTTTCTTTTTTTATTTAGTATATATAAATGACATCGTTAACGACATACAAGCAACAATAAAATTATTCGCCGAGGACACCTCTCTCTAGGTAACTGTCGACATTCCTAGAGTAAGCGCAGAAACCCTTAATAGTGATCTAAATAAAATCCATAACTTGTCGCACAGGTGGCTGGTTAATTGTAACCCTTCTAAAACAGAAACCCTTCTCATTAGCAGGAAAACCATTAAACCGTTCCATCCTCCCTTAACCATGAATGATACTAACATCTCTGAGGTTACTTCACACAAGCATTTAGGTGTTTTTCTCTCTGGAAATGGTCATTGGAATGAGCACATCGAATATTTAATATCTAAGATTTCCCCTAAATTGAATATTTTACGTAAATTGATATCTTGTGGGACTGTTTCACTAATGCTCAATCTGATCTACTCGAAAATCTTCAGTTAGAAGCCGCGCGTATAGTTACCGGTGGCACTAAACTAACAAGTAGACTTAAATTGTATATTGAAACAGGCTGGTTCCCCCTCGAGGAAAGACGTAAACAACATAAGTTTATACTTTTTCATAAAATGGTTCAAG